TTGTGTCATATGTGTCATTTATATAATAATATATATGCGATTTCGTGAGTTATAATTATTATAGTGTGATGTTCACATTAGATGTGTTTTGAATTTATATAATGATATTTTCTTACCTTTTTATAATGCTTTGCTCATGTTTTGCAAATATTTTAATTATTTTTTAAAAATTGTTTTCTTTTTTGTTTTCAAAAGTTTTGGTTGTGTATCAAATTGTAACCGATTGAACAAAGACTGTTCAATACATTTTTCACTTCACAAACAATTTTAAGAATAAAGAAGCGATGTTTTGGTTTCATTCTTCACCCATATAATGATAAGGACTAAATGTGTATCTAACTCTATCAGATATATACAAATCATTTATTCTCCTCTATCTAATCTAATACGTACATTTTTCAGTACTAAGAAAATGACTATGTTTCTTACTAACCATTACCAAAGACCCCTAACTCCGAATTGAGGCGGATCGTTGGAAAATCCCTAACTCCGATGATGACCCACAAATGGACCAGCCTATAAAGTTATTTTTTGGTGTTTAGTATTGCAAAATATTTTGATGATATCTTCACTCTCTATTTTGCTATGTTTTCTGATTTGTGACCAAAATCATGGAGGACAAGGAACAAACACTCGACCTCAAAACGATGCTTGTGTGTTAAAACTTAAAACAGAGATATTGGTGTATAAATATATCATTTGATCTTTAATTCATACGTACATTTCTTAGTACTAAAATTACTTCCAAAAACTATAAACTGAACCAACCATTAGCGAAAAGATGGTTGGTTCTAACATTGATCTTCAACTTCTAATTCATGTTGTTAATGATCTCCGCCATTTGCATATGTGCTTCAGAAACTGGTACGACCTTCGTTCTACGGCAATTTTTCCAACACAAAAGAACTTCAAATGCGATGAAGATTACCTTGAACACGCCTACAATCGTCAAATAGACAATTTAAATGTAATGAATCTAACCCTTTTCATTCAAAACAAGATTTATAGTTTTTTTGGACAAATAACGGATCGAGGCTCGGAACTGAACAATGAC